TCTACAGCTGACATATTGGAATAGACTTCATGTGGTGAGTAATTTTTACGTTATTTGAAGATTTATGTTTGTCGCGACTCACAAATTCGCCACATTCAGCCATAACGGCAGCATAGAAATAATGCTGTATTTAGGTGGATTTCAGCACTCACATGCGTTTTCTTTGGGAAATACCACTCTAGTTAATTTCTAGAAACATTATAAAAGTAGCATGCTGGGATATAAATGCATTGTTTGTATTTTTCCACAACACAGAACAAAATGAATGCATCAATGTTCTACGGGAAGCGACCAGTTGGACTTCAAACCAGGGTTCCACCAGTTGAAAGTGATGACAGCTGTCTTGACAGCAGGGATAGTGATGAAGACTACACTCCTACACCACGTCGGCACTATCCACAAAGCTACCGACGCCCCTATTGCTGCCGGTTTCATCACCTGGTGTGTGTTCGTGTAGAGTTTCAGCTTTTTGCGGTTTACACATGGCCATATGTTTATGAATGTAACCATGTGTACAAGATGTGTATATAATATAAAAATGTCTGCACTCTTGTACAGTGATTTCTTTTTTCTACACCAGGTGATGAAAGCAGCAGTAGGCTAGTACTGACAACAGGAGTAGCAGTGATGAAGACTCTGATGGAAATCATGATGCTCTTCCTAGCACCAGTGTTCTAAGTGAAAAGCTTGAGCTCTGTTTCACATTGGATTATAATAGTTGGTGTTATAGTCAGGACATTGAAAATAATTGTGTGGCATCAATAAAATCTACATACCTGAGACGGGAAATGTGTTTTATTTATTTTTATTTATTATTTTATTATTATTTTTTTAGTTGTTTTTTTTTTCTTATACCATTTTTTCCCATTTATTCCTGTTGTCGCTAATTTCTATCATACCTAAATGTATATCTATTCTATGTATACATCTATAACAATCTCCACTTAATTTAGATAGATTTTAAAATTTCAATATAATTTTAATATTATTTTTGCTTATTTCATTATTGTTATTATTGCTTTACTTTTTAGTAGTATTGTATTATCTGAGGATGACTCATTTTAGTAACTATCTACAATAAAAAGAAAAAACAAGCAAAGAAACAAACAAAAATCTATTTATACACTGGGCCTTCAAAGTGCTCAACTACACCTGGCACGGCTTGTGTCCAAAAAATGAAAAAATCTAAACTTTGTCGTAGAGCTAAACCAAATACATCATTGGAAAGGTCTCAACCTGGAGAGTGACATATGTCAGTATGAAGATTCTACATGGCTCCTGCTTTCAGCCATTCACCGTTGAACCTTGACCTCAGTGCATGTTTGCAGGCTTATAACTCAGCAAGGAAAGGGGGTACAGACATGAGACCAGCTGATATAGAGAGCTCTTGACCTCAACTATCATGTGAGTGTAGTCAACAACTGGGGGTGCTGTCAGGTATGGGTAAAATATGGATAAAATTAATTTTCACCCATTTAGAAATTAGATATTTAAAATATGATTACACAAGTGTGTTTACCATCCCCTTAAAGTCCACAGTGTACTCTCAATTCAGTATTTACAACTTCCAAATCTAGGAAAAACACTTATCTTTTTTGAAAACTACAATTCCCTGGGACTGCGCCATGCAGCTTGATACATATCAGCAACATAGTTGTAGTTCTTCTGATTTGCAATGTAGGGTTCTAAATAGGGTTGTAAAAAGATATATATACCCAATATATCTAATATCTAGTAAAGCCGAACTAGTTATTACACTGCACATAGATGAACTATGTTAAGAAAAATTAAAGATGTCAGCTAATTTTCAATATTTTAGCTAATACGCTAGAAACGGCGTTTTTAGGATGGTAGGTTTGTTTGTGGCTTGTAAAATAGGGTCGTAAAAAGATAGATCTACTGAATATAATATCTAGTAAAGCCGAACTAGTAATTACACTGCACCTAGATGAACTATGTTAAGAAAAAGTAAGGATGATGGTTAATTTCAGATCATTTAGCTAGTACTGTAGAAACGGCATTTTTGGGACTGGATATTTGAATAGGCCTATATCAAATATCTAGTACAGCCAAACTATCATGTTATTATTATTATTATTATTATTACTGGTGGGAAATTATAACAGAGGAATATATTTGCAAGAACACTTTCGTGTTATTGTGTATATACAGGACATTATTGAATCAGGGAATCCGTGTGGATACCACGACAATGGATCCTAATTGACTTTACTTTGGCATTGTTTCCGTGGTACCGGCACATAATTTCAACCCATTACATGCTGCCACCACGGAATGCGGCGTTAAGAGGTTGTGGTCATTTCACGTATTTCTATGAGATCAGGTTGTTTTTTGGCCCAGTGTATAAAATGATTTTTATTTGTTTCTTTTTTTCTTTTTTTTTACTGTAGATAGTTACTAAAATGAGTCATTCTCAGATAATACAATACTACTAAAAAGTAAACCAGTAATAACAATAATGAAATAAGCAAAAATAATATTAAAATTATATTGAAATTCTAAATTAAGTGGAGATTGTTATAGATGTATACATAGAATAGATATACATTTAGGTATGATAGAAATTAGCAACAACAGGAATAAATGGGAAAAATGGTATAAAAAAACAACAACAAAAAAAATATATTAATAAAATAAAATAATAAATAAAAATAAATAAAACACATTTCCCCTCTCAGGTATGTAGATTTCATTGATGCCACACAATTATTTTCAATGTCCTGACTATAACACCAACTATTATAATCCAATGTGAAACAGAGCTCAAGCTTTTCACTTAGAACACTGGTGCTAGGAAGAGCATCATGATTTCCATCAGAGTCTTCATCACTGTTGCTCCTGTTGTCAGTACTAGCCTACTGCTGCTTTCATCACCTGGTGTAGAAAAAAGAAATCACTGTACAAGAGTGCAGACATGTTTATATTATATACACATCTTGTACACATGGTTACATTCACAAACATATGGCCATGTGTAAACCGCAAAAAGCTGAAACTCTACACGAAATTATAGCATTATTACTGCTGTTTTTTTTAAATAAGATTATGTATTTGGCCTGTTGCTTTAGGACAGCATGAAGTGGGGAAATAGAGAATGGGGGAATGACACGGGCCGCAGGCCGGGATTGAGCCCGCGACCGCTGTGGCGAGGCGGTGCCTCTGTGCATGGGGTCTGTGCATGCTGCGTACAGACTACACTCCTGACCAGGTGATGAAACCAGCAGCAATAGGGGCGTCGGTAGCTTCGTGGATAGGGCCGACGTGGTGTAGGAGTGTAGTCTTCATCACTATCCCCGCTGTCAAGACAGCTGTCATCACTTTCGACTGGTGGAACCCTGGTTTGAAGTCCACCTGGTCGCTTCCCATAGAACATTGATGCATTCATTTTGTTCTGTGTTGTGGAAAAGTACAAACAATGCATTTATATCCCAGCATGCTACTTTTATAATGTTTCTAGAAATTAACTAGAGTGGTATTTCCCAAAGAAAACGCATGTGAGTGCTGAAATCGCGACAAACATAAATCTTCAAATAACGTAAAAATTACTCGCCACATGAAGTCTATTCCAATATGTCAGCTGTAGAAGCAAACAGTAAATATTGAACAATTTCTCCAAATTTGCAGCCTCCACACGCAGCGGTTGTTAGCCAAAGCGCTAGCTTCCATGAACCGGATGTAGTTGTCACTCCAACCGGTCCGACAAGAAACCAGTGCTTGCAAAAGAAAAAAACTTGGCTTCCGGAGAGATGAAAATATTGAAAGTGCATGAAAGGCCCGAATCCGGCCCGTTATCCGTTTTTTCCATTTTCCATTTAAACAGAAAATCGGAAATAGGAAAATGAGTCGTTATCCGTTTCGTCATTTTGGTTCTGGAAACAAATACTGAAAAAACAAGTCATTATTTTGTTTTTTTTTCATATTTGGTTTTATTTTGAAAAACGAATGAATGAATGATACACGGATTTAGTATAACTAGTAGTTATCAGTTCTGGTAAGTGGTTGAATCGGGTATAGGACTGAGCGGGAATGAGACCCGGGCCATTTCCCTAGAACCCCAGGAAGACTAGTTGATGTCAGGGCGTTAGCTAATGGGGATCCTAAAAAACTAGACTAAATCCCATCTTCACCATTACCAAAAGTGCTTCTGTTACAGTCCTTCAAATCTGAAAAGGTTCCTAAAAATGTGGTTGCCTTTCATTCACCTCATGACTTTGTCATCTGGTTTCATTTTACTGTCAGTTTAAACTGCTAGATAAAGGGAGATGGCAATTGAGTAATTCCAGTTATGGATTTATGGTGCACATAAATAAGTGCCTGCAGACTACAAATACAAACATACAAACACAGGTCTCAAGCACCCACATGCAATCATCATATCATTACTTGTGACACAGTGAAATAAAGGAAGCCACTGTGAGAAAAGAACGCATTGCAAAAGTCATCTGGAAAATTACTGGACAAATCAAACCGCAGAGGCACTTGACTGCTGTCAAGCAATCACATTATTCACAGCTTGCTTCAAACAGCATAGCAGTCCTCACTTTTGATTGTGGTTCAATTTAAGAGCAAAAACCATTTTATGTGCGCTGCGACATTGTGTACGTGTGTGTGTGTGTGTGTGTGTGTGCACTCTGTCATAAAGGGACAATTGCATTGCCAATAATTACATTGGTTTTGCTGAGACAAGTTGAAGACAGCAACAAGAGGCTGCCAAGAACAAAACATCATTGACATAGACACGAGTTATGTTTCAAAAAGAGTGCAAGTGTTTGAATGTCAACCATGGACAACAGAAGCTGTTTTGCATATCTATAAATGCTCTCAAAATTCTATTCACTCTTTGAAGCTGTTTTGCATATCTATAAATGCTCTCAAAATTCTATTCACTCTTTGTAAGAGTACACTGAAATCAGGGGGACAGTTGTTTGAATCTCATAGCATGGTGTGAGGGAGAAGAGGGGGTGGACTGTAACACTCACTGTCTTGCCTTGGAGGGACTGTGGGGTGATGGTCTGAGGAGGGACACCGGCTGCGATGGATCGTCTATCAGATGGGTAGCCGTACTGTGGGGACAAGGGATGAGAATGGAATGAAGTTAACAAAGGAAGGCTGATCTAGGTTGAACTCATTTCAGTTAAGGTGGTCTTAATTAAGCTCAATTCATTTCAAATGACTTAAAGCAGTGGTCCCCAACCTTCATTGATGCCATTCATTATATTATATTACAAATGTGTTCATTTCAGTTAACTTGAAACAGATATTATTCAACTATTGATGATATAATAATAATAATGATAATAACAATAATAATAATAATAATAATAATAATAATGTTTGTCCATTACTTTAAAACATTGCTAATGCAGATGAGTCTGCGTCAACTTGAGCAAATTTTTATAAATTCATGTCCACCTGTGTCTTTGCATTGCCTTTATATTAGAGCCAGTGTGATAAATCAATCACAGGAGTGGGTCTGAATATGCTGCATTTAGACTCTATCATTCACAAATAAAAATGGAAGATATCTCAGAAAGATCAACTGAGGAGGGAGCCCTCTCCCAGGACAGATATGTAATAGATTTTATGTGTACAGAATAACTACCATAGTAAAATAACAGAACTGATACTGAGCATATATCAAGAATGGATCCGTGAGGACATCAAGCAACTTAAGTTGTCATCATGCAGACAGACCATGAGCTAAACCACTTCCTCTCCACCACTTCTTGATGCATGTAGACATGAAACACTGAGCCTGTGACTGATTGAATATTGTTGTGAAAAGCCACACTAGTTCATCAGCACACAGTCTGAGGAGCTACCCACTTACACTGTCTAGTCCTGCTGCTTTCTTGGTGTAACATGCTTGAAAGCCCTCCTGACATCATGCTCAGAAAGGGAGACAGGTTTCACTAGGTATGGGTATCGTTAAGATTTTAATGGTACTACTACTCTTATCGGTACTGCTTATCGATCCGGTATTTTAATGGTACTCTTATTGATACTTTTTGAGGAAGAAAAAAACAAATTAAGAACATAAATTGCTTTATTTTCTCAATTCTCATTATGCAACAAAATAGTTTTTTAACAAAACATTTTACTTTTTACAACTTGAAATGTAAAATAATAGTGTTGTCACGGTACCAAAATTGGGACCCACGGTACCATACCAGTGAAAGTATCACGGTTCTGATACCACAGCAAAAATTAGGCAGATGTGCCTTTTGTCATTTACAAAAAGATAAATTACTTTTCTATAATACATCACTGATATTTAAATGGAATAAATTACTTATTGACTTATTCATAATTCAAAAACAGCATCAATAAGTGATTAACATAGGAGGGGATCAAAATAAAATAAATCAATAAAATAAAAATCAGCCACCCTCCTCCCCTGACAAGTAAAGAACAGTCCCTTCATAAGTAAAGAACAGTCCATAAAGTGCGGTGAGGTTTGTGGACCGTTACTGACACAGAGAGAGTAATGTGAACGGCTCGTTTCTCCTCTGACACGCCACATACCTGTGTGCCGCCACGGCTCGGCTGTTCAGGTACTTCTGGGCAGTCATGACATCAACAAAGACGAAAACATTGGACCTGGAGTCAGGCTTCTCCGTCGCCGGTAAGCCGTTATCTTGCGCCGCGGAGCACTATGGCTGCCGTATTTGACAGGAATACGTATTCCTGTCTGTGTCTGTGACCCCCGTCAACTCACAACCGACAGGATTCTGCTGCTGGTTGAAATCTATACTCGCACAGCGTGCTCCTGAATGATTTCTTTTACTTGCACAAAACTATTTTTAGTCGCAAATGCAGTAAAATGCTTGCACCGTAGAGCTCTGTGGAAAACAAATCACTGTAGCATATATAAACAAATCTAGCCTACAAGTAAAAATATTAGGTATTCTAGGTATTTTATATGGTGATGTAACATTAATCACTATGGATATATAGACCAGAGGGGGGGAAATCCCACGCACCCAGCCCAGGCTATAATTATGGTTCTATTCATGTATTTAGAAATATCTGAAAAATACACAAATAAAATCCCAAATCAGAAACCCTATTTAGTAAATAGGGTCGCAAAATACCTAATGGTTATTAACTCCACGTGTTGGCTGCTAGCATAATGTTACAAACCTGGACTGGACATAGGTGAACTAGCTGTGCTAGGGCAGTCAAACACTGTACATCTTTCTGTCTGAATATGATGCACTTTCGCAAGGTGTTTTGACAAATTACTAGTGTTGCCGCCCTTACACACAAAACATTTGTCACACTTGTGACAACGCGCTGTGTCAGCATCAACTCTTGTAATGTAACACTTCTGACCGTTTGGCTCTTTACGCCATCGTTATCTATCTAACGGTAGGCTACGAGCTTGAGTTGGTATATGCACTGTCTTGTGTGTGTGTCACTGAAACAACAGCCCCGCCCCCCTGCTCTCCACTCACACAGAGCAGGCAGCCAGGGTGAGCATGACAGATCTCTTGTCTTCAGGGAGAATAGCGAAAATTATGATACAATGACGGATAATTGACAGAGTTGGTGAGATAAATGTGCTAGATAACATTTATCTTGTAAAAAAAAACTAAACAACAAAAATGCGTCTGCTCCAGTACTGATAGCAGAACCGTTAAGGTCAGAACTTATCAATACTGTGGTCTTGAAGAATGTAGCCGGTCGTTCAGTACCAGGGTTCGGTACCCATCCCTAGGTTTCACCACCCTTCCATCCATTAACCTTGGCTTCAGCTGTTTTTGCTCGTTGTATACTGATGGCAATGGTATCACCAATGGCAGGAATCTTAGCTTGTGTATAATCCCTCCACGCTCTTCTTGGTGCCTACTCTAATGCTGAGATGGATGCAGAGATGGTCTTGTGTGTCCATAGGCCCGTTTCCACTGAAGAAGTTCCTGGTACTATTTGGGGGGCAGGAACTACTACAGGAACGTCCTCTCGTTCGGCCCTCTCAACTGCCGTGTCTCCACTGAGAGAGCGGAGTACGAGGAAGGTTCCTGTAAAATTACGGGCTGCCTCTAGATGTGACGTAATCGTTGCGTGACCATTTTGACCGGGGTGACGTACGGACGCCGTTAGCCCATAGCGGTGTCTGTAATAACTCACTAAATGGCCTGTGAAAAAAATATTTTTTCCAGCGGATGTCTTAGTTACAACATGATTGAGCTAACTGGAGTAGTTTCATGTCGTATCCGACAACGGGAGGCTTTTAACAGATGACGTCCTGATGTTAGCTTTGCTGCAGCTGTTAGCTGTCCCTGTCAGCTGATGCTTTCTAGACATCGTGATTTCCCAAAACTGAATAAATACCACACAGAGCAACACAAAACTGCTTTGCTAGCTCAATCATGTCATAACTAAGATATCCGCTGGAAAGAATAATTTTTTCACAGGCCATTTAGTGAGTTTTTTTTACATGGTGGCAAAAGCTATATGAACGAGCTAATTTTTGTCTGCTGAGTTTTAAAAATGCCGGCTATTTTGTTGCTTTCTGTTGACGTCACATCCCTCCTTGAGTATATCCAATCAGCACCAAGTAATCCCCAAGCCCCAGCCAGGAGTCTTTCGGGGCCGTCCTACCCCAAGGCAGGGACTTGTTTAGCCCCTGTAAAAGTTCCAGAACTCTGTCCCTTGGGGGTGGTTCCTGCGGTGGAGACACGCACCCATAGACATAGATACATAGACGCCGCATCGAGCGCTGAGCCGTACGTCAACGTCGCCGCCATATTGGATGTGGCAAGGCTGCGCTGTAAACTAATAGAAGTGAATGGACTTAACTTCATAAAGCGCCTTTCTTCAAAGAAATTTATGTTAATGCCTCTCGTTTATTCATTCACACACACACTAATATACTTGGGAAACAGTTAGGCACCAGAAACAATGTATTTGATCTTCTCAGATGGCTAAGATAAGAACTTTATTGATCCCACACAGGAGTAATTCACCTTACATCAGCTATAT